TACGTAGGTTGGGGACATTGTACGTCGGGGGTCCACTGTAATAATAGACAGCTTCAAAAGGCCGTCACTAGATGACAGTGTTTACCACAACAAAGAGGGAGCGATTGTGGCCGCCTGCACCTGTTACATAATGATGTATTTTATTCATTCTAGAGTATATATCAGGTTTCTATGTTATTTATATTGTTTATTTCATATTGGATGAACTATGATAGATAAATAAGCCGTTGAGTTGATGATAACGAAATATTCAAGGAGTATTTTGTCTTGTCTCCAGACAAACTCGCGTTGGCCACCTCCGCCGCCACATACATAATGACATGCATGTATTTTATTCATTCTAGAGTATATATCAGGTTTCTATGTTATTTATATTGTTTGTTATGTCATATTAGATGAACTGTGATAGATAAATAAGCCGTATAGATGATGATAGTGAAATTATTCAAGAAGTATTTTGTCCGGTCTCCAGACAAATCTCGTCCACCGCCAACACCGCCCATACCACTATATGAATTACATATTTTACTCATTTTAGAGTATATATCAGGTTTCTGTTATTTATATTGTTTATTATGTCATATTAGATCAAGTGAGATAGATAAATAAGCCATAAAGTTGATGTTGGCGAAATTATTGAAGTACAGAATTCCACTGGAACGGATTAATTGCATTTCAGTTAATTTAAATGAGAAAAATTGACTCTGCAAACTAGCAAATCCAGTTGCGAGCAAGGTCATGGAACGGATTAAACTCGCAAGTAGAGGTTCCACTGTATTTGGGAGAGCCTGTCAAAGAAGGAAATTTAAAGTAAACTTAGAAAAGAGGAAGAAATTAAAAGTATCAAAAGAGTCTAATCGGTGAAAGATTGAAAATTAACCCTTTGACTGTTTCGTTCGTATATGTTCGTATTTATACTCCAAAATTCCAGCGGCTTCTAATTGAGTGGGAGAAAGCTGGTAGGGCCACATGTGAGAGATTGGGTCTGTGTATAAAAAAAAATCCTGCAGTACAGAGTGCATAATGAGAAATAAAAAAACTCAAATGTTTCTTTTGGGATTAAAATGCTGACTTCGAGGTGTATTTTCTTATAGTATTTATGATTGTATTCTCGTTTTCTTGGTCTCGTTTGATAAAATGGAAGACATATTACAGAAATAGAGATGATTTTGATTAGTTTCACGATGAAAAGGACCTTGAAATTGAGCTCAAAGTAGCGGAAATGTTCAATTTTTGCCGATGTTCAAGAGTAAACAAATGACATTATTTATACAATACAGTGGACCCCCGACTTACGATCAGCTCCCAACTTGAACAATTATGTAAGTTTATTTTTGTAAGTGTATTCTTGGGGGTCTGAAATGGACTAATCTAATTTACAATATTCCTTATGGGAGCAAATTCGCTCAGTAACGGCACCCGAACAGCCTTCTGGAACGAATTAATATCATAAGTCGGGCGTCCACTGTAATTACAATAATACAGTAGTCTGCATAACAGTAAATCTTCTATTTTTTATGTGAATAAAAATTCAAAATAAAAAACCAAGAGTAATATAAGAGGGACCTGGAGATGTGACTGATGAACAGAGAAAATGTTATTTTAGTGTCAGGAATGTCTGCATTGTTCATTCTGGACCCAATTTTGAAATTGGCATCTATTTTAATTTGCGTTATATTGGCCAAATTACCAATTTCTGACCTCTTTGTTGGGTAGTTGAAATCGATAAATGGGCGGTTTCTTGTACTTGATCGATAGAACAAATGGAGTTCTAAAGAAATAACTGAGTTTGGTTGACTAGAACAATGGAATTGGCCAAAAATAGTGCTCAAAGTGGGCGAAATCGCCAATGCGTAAATATTGCAGAGATCTCTATCTTTGCAAGAGCGTAATTCCCTAAGTTTTCAATCAAATTTTGTACTTTTGGTGTTTTTACCATCGGGAAAAGATTCCCTATCATTTCATGAGATTTTTTTTTTTTTTAAATTCTTCGACATTGAGAGCAAGTTTATGAGCAGGGGCCTCGACAGCCAAAGGGTTAAGGGTCAGATGTGAGTGTGGGGAAGATGCATGAGGCAATGGGTAAAATGAAGTGGGGTAAAACAGCCCAGATTGATGGGATCAAGACAAATGTTAAAAGTAGGTAGGGATTTAATTTTGGAGTGGCTGGTTCTTTTGTTTAATAAATGTATGAATGGGAGGGAAGTTCCTTTGTATAAAGGAAAGGGGGACAAAAGAGAGTGTGAGAATTTTAAGCCTGTTGAGTATACCAGGTAAGTGTATGGTAGTTATTATTGAAAGAATTAAGGGTAAGATGGAGAGCAGGATCACAGATCAACAAGGAGGTTCTTAGGAAGGGTAAGGTATGTGTAGACTGTGTTTATTTTGAAGCATATAAGTTTTACCAACGCTCTTATATGGGCGTGAAGCATGGGTGATGAATGTTGCAGCGAGGAGAAGGCTGGAGGCAGTGGAGATGTCATGTCTGAGAGCAATGTGTGGTGTGAATATAATGCAGAGAATTCTTAGTTTGGAAGTTAGGAGGAGGTGCAGGATTACCAAAACTGTTGTCCAGAGGGCTGAGGAAGGGTTGTTGAGGTGGTTCGGACATGTAGAGAGAATGGAGTGAAACAGAATGACTTCAAGAGTGTATCAGTCTGTAGTGGAAGGAAGGCGGGGTAGGGGTCGGCCTAGGAAAGGTTGGAGGGAGGGGGTAAAGGAGGTTGTGTGTGCGAGGGACTTGGACTTCCAGCAGGCATGCGTGAGCGTGTTTGATAGGAGTGAATGGAGACAAATGGTTTTTAATACTTGACGTGCTGTTGGAGTGTGAGCAAAGTAACATTTATGAAGGGGTTCAGGGAAACCGGCAGGCCGGACTTGAGTCCTGGAGATGGGAAGTACAGTGCCTGCACTCTGAAGGAGGGGTGTTTATGTTGCAGTTTAAAAACTGTAGTGTAAAGCACCCTTCTGGCAAGACAGTGATGGAGTGAATGATGGTGAAAGTTTTTCTTTTTCGGGCCACCCTGCCCTGGTGGGAATCGGCCAGTATGATGATAAAAAATAATAATAAAAAAATAAGTGAGCAATATTTAGTTAAGGGTAAAGAAGTTTTCACTGCATTTATAGATATGGGACAGGCATATGGTAGGGTGGATAGGGGAGTAATGTGGCAGATGTTGCTAGTGTTGCAAGATGGTTGGTTACTTAAAGCACTTAAGTTTTTATGGGGATAACAAGGATCAGGTTAGGGTATAGAGGAGAGAGTGAGAGATTATTTTCTAGTAAAAATATGCCTTAGACAGGGATGTATCATGTTACCATAGTTGTTTAATAAAGACGGAGTTATACAAGAAGTAAATGCTAGGTCATAGTGAGGTGTGGGATTTAAAGATAAAATCTTATACAAAATGGGAGTTGTCACAGTTGCTTTTTTTGCTGGGAGATTCTGGAGAGAAGTTTTAAAGGCTGGTGGATGAATTTGAGATGGTATTTAAAAGAAAATTAAAAGTGAACATAGGAAAGAGCAAGATGACGAGGGCAAAAAAAATTTAGGTAATGAAAGATTGAATATCAGAGTCGGTAGCTTTAAAAATAGGTTAGACAAGTACATGAGTGGGCATGGGTGGGTGTGAGTCAGACTTGCTTTAGTATGGGCCAGTAGTTCTGCTGCAGTGCTCTTCCTTTCATATGTTCTTTGAAATCTCTTGAGGATTGGTTGAGTCTATAAATGGCTACCCCTACATTGTAAGAATTGAGAGTTTGCAGTAAACACAAGAAAGATACCCCTAAGAATATAATATGTATTGAGTACAATGTATGAAAGGATTATATATACTGATACATAGTATGTATGTGGGTCATTTGTATTAAGGTGTCTGTACACTTATGGCAAGATAATTATTGCGTGAATGTTGGCGAGTGTGTGTATTTCTTTTGGATACCCTTGGTAGGAAGCCACTCCTGTGAGAAAGAATTACTGACAGTTCTTTATTTTTCAGGTATTCAAAATTGAGAGGGAAGGTGAGAAGAAACGCTATAAACCATTTAAACAGCTCCACAACCGAAAACTCCTGTGGCATGGCTCCAGGCTTACAAACTTTGCTGGAATTCTTTCTCAGGTTAACATTTTTATCAATGACACCATAAATTTTGAAACTCCAATTTTTGGTATTGTAGTTTGTTTTAAAGGAGTATGTGATTGTTTTGTATAGATTAGGAACATCACCTGGGCTGAATTGAAGGTGATTATATGCTTTGCTTATTGTATCTAAAACAGTATTTCTGTGTCTAGGTCACCTGTAATTTGTATAATCCTTTCAGGGGTAAAAATATCCAAAATTGTGGGTTATCTAGATTTCTTTCTTGCACACAGTGTTTTAATTTGTAGTAAAAAATTATTCTTTGAACTCTGAGCATCTTATTTGTTTTGTTTTAACTGTTGTTAGCTTAAGAATGCCAGGCTTAGCATTTCTTATCTTGATGCTCCTCAGTGTAGATCATTAGAATTCATAACACTGGTGATCTGCACATCTTCAGAAACCTCAGGATTCCAAAGCATAAAAAAAGTCAGCATATTACATCTCTTGGTTCTCTGGAAACCTTGCAACCCACCATTTGAGAAACTGAGTCTCAAACTTAATTTTTGTAGGGTCACAATATAGAATGGCCTAATGACTAAGATAAATAAAATGAACCTTGATATCAAATGGATCATATTTTTTGCTTTGTAAAATTCTGTCTGCTTGTCCAGTATTACACCATATAGTACCATACTTAGAATATAGATTATTATACAAGAGGGTCTTGAGATTCATTTAATTTATTACTAGTACCTTTTGTATCTAGCTTTTATACTTACAGGGTCTTCGTATTGCTCCTCCTGAGGCTCCTGTTACTGGTTATATGTTTGGCAAAGGTGTATATTTTGCTGACATGGTGTCCAAGTCAGCAAACTACTGTTCTACATCACAGAGTAATCCTACTGGCCTTATATTACTATGTGAAGTTGCATTGGGTGAAATGTAAGTAACTGTACTTTGTTTCTTTAAAAATATTTATTCAGATGCAGTGAAACCTTAATTATGGCAATTATATTCTTGAGAGGTCTCTTGAATTCCAACCTTTCAATCTAAAATTTGACCAAAGGCTTAGTTCCACTAAAACTGTAATGAGGTTAAAATGCTCATGTAATTCATTTGATAGTGAGGCTTAAGGTGTTGAAGTATGGTACAGACAAGCAGTGAAAGAAAGCATATAGTGTATAGTACTGTATAAAGATTGTGAGGGAGAGGAGGGGATAACTTTAACATTACATGTAGTGCATTGGCTGCTGCCATTAAACATTTTGCCTCGTTGCACTCCTTAAGCAGTGTTCTCTATAAAGAAAATGGCATACAAGTAACCCTGATGTTTGACGATAACAATTTTTGCCACTGTAGACTATTCAGTGAACTTGGTTTATGGTGGATGGTAAAGTTGCTTGATTGTATTTTTTCCCTTAGCATAAGTACAAAGGACAATGCATTTGAGTGTTTGTACCCCTATTGTATCCCTACAAATTTGTAGGGTGTTACATTGCTAGAGGCCCTGTGAAACTCGACCAAGAATAATAAAAAATTTATTCTGTAGAATTTTATTTCAGATTTGGGTTCTATTTGTATTTCAGAGACCATATCTCTAATGCATTTAGTTAATATTGACATTTATGAGAAATAATGACCAGAATAAAATGATTGGACATTAGAAAGCCATCAGAAGTTTGGGTAGTTTGAACCCGTTCACTGATTTCTCATAAATATACTCATTGGATGCTCTAAATTTGAGAATGCCAAAGTGTGTGATTTATAAGGGATGCATAATTATTGTACCAACATGAAATATAGTTTAAACTTTACTTTATTCCGCAGGTATGAAAGAACTCAAGCCGAGTATGTTGAAAAGCTTCCTAAGGGTAAGCACAGTACAAAGGGTATGGGTCGCAATTGCCCAGACCCTAGCCAGGCTCTCGTACTTGAGGATGGTGTAGAAGTGCCTCTGGGTAAAGGTGTTCCATCAAATGTTAAAAATTCATCATTGTTATACAATGAATACATTGTTTATGATGTTGCTCAAATTAATGCTAAGTATCTTCTCAAACTTAACTTTAAGTATAAGTATTAATATGTTATTTTAATTCAGTTGGGCACTAGTTTTCATTGCACACACACACACACACACACACGCACACACGCACACGCACACACGCACACACACGCACACACTCTCACTCACACACACTCACACACTCTTTAATTAGAAGTGAGAAGTAGTTTCACACTTAATACATATATGCATGAGAACTAATTTTTAAAATTTATCAGAATGAACTTGCTCCAAGAGTATTTACCAGAGCATTAAAACTATTTTTGGTAGTACAGTATAAATGCTTAATGTTGAAAAATCATGCGAGAAGCATGACTAATGGTAAAGTTTAGATTTTATCATTTGTTTGGTTTGCAGCGTTAAATGTTCAACTACATTTTAATATTGTAATAAAAATGGTACACACAAATGTTAGCAACTATAAAATGTGCAGCTTTCAACTTTATCTGGCAGTAATTAAAATAAGTTATCTGCAGAATTATGTCCATAACTTGTTAATGAAAGAATGTAATTTCTTTGTTTACGTGTGTATGTTATTAAAAATGTTAAAACAGATGTTTCCATTAATTCCTAAAACAACAATAACAAAAAAAGCACTTTGATTATTTTGCATATGGAGCCAAATTGCATTTGCTAGCCTCTTCAAGGGGGGCTCCTTGGCGTGGTGAAGAGGCTCTTGGTCTGAGGAATTAGCCCTGTTGGTCTTCTTCCTCAGACCGAACCTAATTACCCCCCATTCTCCCCTCCCCTATCCCATCCTCCCCTTTTTCCATTCCTCCTCCCCACCCCTCCCTTTTGCCCTTCCTCTTTTTGGCCTTTGGGATTTCTCCCACAGGCGCGCTAGTTCCTAGGTAGGGGAAAGGACACCGGGGTCCATCCCATTCCGTTGAGGTTCTTGGCGGTGGCGTAGTTTGCCGTGGAATCTGGATTGCCTGGGGATGTCCCGATCCCTCTGCGGTATCCTGGAGTAGCTTTGGGTATCTTTCGGGCGACGGGTGTATCTCTGGAAGCCACCTTTTGGATTCCGGGGGTGGTGGCCGAAGGAGGTATGCTTTGTGGCGGATATCCGGCCGCCCTCTCTTTTGTCCACTGAGGTAGCTCGGCAGATGTGAGGTTGCTATCCCGGATTGCTGGTTTACTGGCATGAAGGGTAGGGTATGGCACGGGTTCCATGCTGCATCTGCGCTACTAGCGGTGTTGAGGTCCTCTTGGGCGCGGAGGGAGATTTCCGGCCCTTTCATTCCTCCTGGGAACTATTCCTCCCCGCTCCCCCTTTTTTTATTCTTTTTTTTATTTTTATTTTCTTCTTTCTTTTTTTTCTTAAAAACAAAAAGCAAAGGAGTAACCTAACCATGGCAGCCTTAGTCCATGAACCCACTACCCCCGAGCCCCTTCTTGATACCGCACCCCATTCTGACCCTGCCTTGTGTTTAGACCACTCTTCGGACACTCCTGATGCCCCTGTACCTCTTGCTGGTGCTGTTTCCTCACCCGCTTCAGGTACCGGGGCTTCGACTGACTCCTTCGATTTGTCTGAACTCCGCTCTCCTTTGACTATGCTTCCGGCTTCTCCCTCTACGGTACGGCAATTTTCGAATCGCCCGCCCATTTCACGCCGGACTAACTCCGGTCCTACTCCTAAACGCCAACGTCAATCTCCTGATGATGCTCCTTCGTTACCTTCCCATTCTACTCGGAAAAGACCGACACGTCAAGCACTCCCTCTCCACGCTCAGTTTCGGACCACACAATGGACTAAATTCTTTACTTTAAGACCGACTTCTTCGTCTGCCTACCTTTCTGACCATAGTATTGGCAAAGTGCTCCTGCATCATGTTGGCAGAGATATTTCATTTCATGCTCTCAAGAGCGGTACGCGCATCGTCACTGTCCAGAATGCTACCCAAGCTCATGATCTTTCTCTCCTTTCGAATATCGATACTACTCCTATCACTATTGAAAAAACATCTTTCTCTCAATTCTTGTAGTGGTACTGTCATTCTGCCCCATACCATAGTCCAACAGAATTTCCAGTCATGTGGCAATGACATTTTTGAACAGCTGGAACTCCAGGATCTCCCAATCCTCAAAGTAGACACTTATGTCCTTCCTGCCCGGGGGCGGAGACGTTACCCTTGCAATGTGGCTCGTTTAACTTTTGACAGCCGAGAACTCCCATCCTCTGTATATGTCGCGGGACATCGGTTACAAGTTCGAAAGGTGATACCTACACCACAACAATGTAGAAATTGCTGGCGTTTTGGTCACCCAGCGAAATATTGCAGATCTATGGCCGAATGCCCAGTCTGTGGTGCCGACGACCATTCTAATACATCTTGCAGTCAACCTCCATCTTGCCTTAATTGTAATGAAGCTCACCCTTCATACTCCCGCCGTTGCCAGGTCTACTTAAATGAACGTGAAATCCGTTGCCTCAAAGAGGCAGAAGGTCTCCCTTATGCTATGGCAGTTACTCATCTCCGCCTCCAAGGGAGACTACCCCGTGTTTCTTATTCTCGTGTTTCCAAACATCCCCCCACTTCTGGGGTCCCATCTTCTGCAGCCTCCTCTGTTGTTACCCCTCCCATAGCCACTACGGCATCTAATCCTTTTGCTGTCCTTGGCTCTGACGTCCCAACTACAACTCAGTCTGTTCTCACATCTTCGCGTCCTTCCTCGCAAGCCCCAGTATCGACAAGACCTCGTACGACACCTAATACCAATCGCCCCTCTACTCAGAAGTCCAAAAAACCCACATTGCTCAAATCTTCTTTGCCCCTTCCTTCCCTTCTTCCACCTCCACACTTTACCTTTCCAGTCTCTGTACCTAGTTCTTCCCCTCCCTCTGGCTCTATTACAAGTGTGGAGATTCACCCTCTCCTCGTACTATGCCTTCCACCCCCGTCCCCTCCCAAGTTTCTCCCTCTTCTGCCACCTCCCAGGTTTCTGCCTCTTCTGTCCCCCCTACACTTCATCTCCAGTCCCTTACACTCTTCCCTCCCCCTCTACTTTGGTACAGTCCATTACTGTCCCAATCTTTACTCACCCTCCTTCTATCTCCAATATGGTCTCCTATACATCTTTGAATTCAGAAACACTTGAAGCCATTTCAGAATATATTGCAGAGACTAAACCTTCAATGGGCACTGATTCACTTCCTGTTCCTTCTCTTCCCTCTCCTCCATCTTCACAACCCCATTCTTCGCAACGCTCCGTTCCTTCGCTACTTGAACGTCTTCCAATGCCCACCACACGTTGACTTTTCTAACCCTCTAGTCGTAGGTGCCTTTACCTACAGATTCCTGATATTTTCTTCTCATCGCCAATCATGGCCTATTTACAGTGGAATATCCGCGGCCTCAGGGGTAATCGGGGTGAGCTTCAGATGTTGCTTTCCAGGTTTTCCCCTGTTGGTGCTTGCTTACAAGAACCAAAATTACACTTGGCTGTTTTCCAACCTACCTCAGGCTATAATTTATTGTATTCTTCGGATCCTTTCTCAGATGGGACCTTTAATGAAAGTGCCCTTCTACGCAATGATATTCCGTACTGTCAACTATTTGTCCATACCTCGCTGCATTACACTGCAGCCCGTATCCACTTGAATAAGTGGTTTACAATATGTTCTTTATATATCTCTCCTTCTCGAGCATTTTCTATCCCAGACTTTGCCTTTCTTGTTTCATCCTTACCACCACCACTTCTGTTACTTGGTGATTTTAATGCCCACCATTTCCTCTGGGGGGGGTCTCATTGTGACTCACGTGGCATTCAGTTGGAGCTTTCTCGCCTCTCACCCCCTCCATGTTTTAAATACGGGTACTCCCACCATTTTGATCCTTGTACTCATACTCTCTCTTGCATCGATCTATCAGTCTGCTCTTCCTCCACTGCACTAGACTTCACCTGGTCTGTTCTACCAGACTTACATGACAGCGATCATTTTCCGATCATTCTTACTTCTCCTTCCTATTCACCACCTTTCCGTAGCCCTCGCTGGCAATTTGATCGGGCAAATTGGGATCTTTACTCACACCTCACTGCTTTTAGTAAGGTTCCTTCTTCATCCTCCATCGATGAGCTCCTACACATCTTCTCGACATCAGTTTATACCGCAGCTTCTCATTCTATACCCCAAACCTCAAGCAGGCATTCTCAGAAGTGAGTGCCTTGGTGGTCTCCTGCTTGTGCTCGTGCAGTACGTTTGAAACGTGCTGCATGGGGCAGGTACCGGTACAATAGAACCGCTGAGAGACTTCTTGATTTTAAGCAGAAGCGTGCGATCGCTCGCCGTGTCATCCGTGAAGCTAAACGCACTTGTTGGCGAGACTATGTTTCCACCATCACCTCTGCTTCTTCTATGAGTGCAGTCTGGAAAAAGGTGAGGAAATTGAGTGGTAAATACTCTCCTGACCCGGCTCCTGTTCTACAGGTCGCTGGTGTTGATGTAGCAAACCCTCTCGACGTTGCCATTGAACTTGGCACACATCTGGTCCGTATTTCCCGAGGGCTCCATCTATGCCCCTCGTTTCTTTCCTCAAAGTCTGCCAGAGAGTTAGTACCCTTGGACTTTTCTTCTCTCAGAGAAGAACAGTATAATGTGCCTTTTACACTTCAAGAACTGGAGGCAACACTCTCAGCTTGCCGATCATCGGCAGCTGGGCCTGATGACATTCATATTCGTATGTTACAACATTTACATAGGTCAGCCCTTGTAGTCCTCTTACACCTCTTCAATCTTATTTGGTCACAAGGAGTTCTTCCCCAGCTGTGGAAATCTGCCATTGTTCTCCTTTCCGCAAACCGGGTACTACAGGACGTGATGCCTCCCACTATCGCCCCATCGCTCTTACTAGTGCAGTTTGCAAAGTGATGGAACGCCTCGTAAATCGACGTTTAATGTGGTATTTAGAGACTCGCAACAGTCTCTCCGCTAGTCAATATGGCTTTCGTAAGGGTCGTTCTACCATAGACCCCTTACTACGCTTGGATACGTATGTTCGTAATGCCTTTGCGAATAATCACTCAGTTATTGCCATATTTTTTGACCTTGAGAAGGCATATGACACAACTTGGAGGTATAATATTTTGGCCCAGGCCCATTCCTTAGGCCTCCGAGGCAATCTACCATCCTTCCTTAAGAACTTTTTAACTGACAGACATTTCCGTGTTCGAGTCAATAATGTTCTTTCCCCGGACTTCGTCCAAGCTGAAGGTGTCCCTCAGGGATGTGCTCTAAGCACAACACTTTTTCTCCTTGCTATAAATGATTTGGCCTCTGTTCTTCCACCCAATATTTGGTCATCACTCTATGTTGATGACTTCACTATTGCTTGTGCAGGCGCTGACTGTCACCTTATTGCAGTTTCTCTCCAGCATGCGGTCGACCGTGTTTCCACCTGGGCCACCACGCATGGGTTTAAATTTTCAAGTACCAAAACTCACCAAATTACTTTCACTAGACGCTCTGTTATCTCCGATCATCCTTTGTATCTCTATGGCTCCCGTATCCCCGAACGTGATACAGTCAGGTTTCTAGGCCTTCTCTTTGACCG